GCTCTCTTGCAACACATTATCCACTAAATCACAGGGCTTATTGAGATGGCTGCTCTCTTTGCTACCTTGTCTCTATATTTTACAGCCCTCTGACTGAAGAGGAGTCAGAAGTTCATTTATTCCAGGTGTCAAGTGTAAACCTTGTGTCCTGGTAAAAGATCACTCATGATTATCATGTAATATTTTTATTTAAAATCAATCTAATTATTCTTGAAATGAGTACACATGAAAGAATCTCTGTGATACAAAATATACTTGCATATGTAAATGAAATCAGAAACATAAATACATACATATTATTAACTATCCTATCTAAAAATTAAAAGATAAAATACAGTTTCTGAGATTCTCACCAAAACGTTTTCACAAAGATTAGATCAGGGGTGTTGCGCTAATTTTTTTGTTACAAGGGCTGGATCTGACATAAATGGGACTTTGTGGGGCCAGGACAAGCATTTCATAAAATGTAATGCCAGGTAGCAGAGATATAAACTTTATAAAAGATACAAACACAATTAAGGATACTATTTTTTTTACTTAAAATACAAATACACTTAAAACTCTTGCCATATTTTGTTTATTTAACAGTCTTTGATAACTGACACCTCCCAAACCTTCCCCCGCAAAAAAGATGCCTGCCTAAAAATGGAAAGGTGGGGGGGGATAATTGGCAATGCAATTTTTAAAATAAAACATCAAGAAAAAGCACAAGGATCTCAGCAGAAACTAAATATATCAAATGCTCTGAGCCTAGGAACATAAAAATGGCTGGGCATTGCAAGCCCCCCCCCCTCCCCCCGGTATTCTTAGAGTGGCAGTGGCTCTTCAGAGTAATGTCCCCTTTTGGCTGTGGGTTCCCAGGTTAGATTACTCAGGCACCCATTCTCAGGTCCATTCAGCAGAGACAAGCGGACTCAAAACATCAATCCTGTATTTGCAAGGAGACAAGTCCAGCAAGCAACAGCTTCAACTATACAAATGCTGGAAAGTGAAACTTCTTGAGCTTCACTCTATTGAAATACATTGCAGCACAGATAAAATTAAAAGAAAATGCAGAATAGATTTCCCATTAAGGTTTCTGGGCCCAGATAGACTACTCTTGAGACTGGAATGACAGCCACCAGAGTGAAATGACAGTCCCTTGGAGTAGCAGAAGTGAGATTGGAATGAGGCCCCCCAGAATGGAATTCCAGGGGCTGTCATTCCAGTCCCAGAACACAGGTTCTATTGCTAGAGATCGTCATTGAACTCTGGGGGCTGTCATTCCAGACCCAGAGCACTGTTTCTATTGCTGGAAACAATCCCAGAATAGTCTATATGGGTGCAGAGACCTTAATAAAAAAATCCATTCTGTATTTTCTTTGTAACTTTCCAAGCCCAGAAGAGCTTCCTGCCAAAGCAGGCAAAAGGAGGGAGCTGGGAACTTCGGCAGGCTCCAGCTTCAAAGGGTGAGGACAGGAGGGGGGGGAAGGAGGGAAGTAAAGAGCTGTAGGCCTGATTAAAGCCATGGTGAGCCTTGACACCCAGGATTAGATAGCCTCATGCAACCTACGTCTGAGAGATTCAGTGGTGTTTTGGCTGTGGCTATCTCATATAGGTCCAACTATCTCTCTATCTCTGTTGGGACTTTTATCCCACCCTAACCCTGCAAGCGGGCTCAGACCAGCTTACATCATAATACACAGTAAAATAATTCTGTAAAAGTGTCAGCACATTAAAATTAATTCTAGCAGAGTTAACATTTAAGAAACCAATTAAAAATACCTGATGGTGATTTGTTTGTTCCCAGAATGTGCTAGATCCATGCGAGGTAGGGGTGATGGAGCATAATCAGCTTTGATAAATCAGCTGCTCCTGGTGTCAATTAATACAAATGGCACCATGGAGCAAAAGCATGGTGGAATAGCTCCGTTGTACAGGCCCTGCGGAATTGCAACAAATCTCACAGGGCCCTGATCTCAATTGGGAGTATATTCCACCAGAGCAGAAAAGGCCCTGGCTCTGGTCAAGGCAAGGTGGACATCTTTTGGGCTTGGGACCACTAAATTGTGCTGGTCAGAAGAGCACAAGGCTCTTTGGGGCACATACAAAGAGAGACGGTCCCGCAGGTATGTGAAACCCACATTACCATACTGGAATCTTTTGATTCATCATTTCTAGTGATATAAGGTAAGTGCTTCTCTGAGTTTAGAAGTTTCCCGTATAAATATATGTCAAGAGTTTGCAGCATACCCGTTTTGTTGTGGTGTTGCCATCTTCCCCTGATACAAAAACTTTTCTTTCTCCAGCTGGCTACCAAGATTATGACCTGCCCTTAACAGATCATGGTCTTTGCCCAGCATATCTAAGGTTTTATGGCTTCCACCATGTTTGTGGTTCCCTTAACCAGGCTCCAGGAGCTTTGATTATTATACAATTTCCACCCTCTTAAGCTCCCGATATAAAGACTCCAACTGCCTTTAGATGATCCATACTCTGCAGTGGTGGCCACAACTTTCCTCCAGGTTCCTGTAAGAAATCTCCTTTGCCGTACTAGCGCTTTAGGTCTTCCTTGCCACTGATGCTTCCAAGTGAGAATGGGGTACTCACTGCAGGAGAAACTCTTACCAGGCGGGCTTGGTTTTAGCTAGAGTCAAGAGACTACATCAGTGTCCTTGAGCTCCTTTCAGTATACGAATCCTTGATGGCTTTCTTGCAGTCATCATGCTCTCCTTCCTCTACAGCCACTCTATTTTTACTTGGCTGTTGTAAACTTTTTTTGAAGGTCTCTGCTGGCTCTACCTACCCATTAATTTGCTCAAGCTGAGTTATGGGATTTGTGATTGATTGTATCCCAGCTGATGAAATGCTCTTTTGAGCCACTGGGAATGTGTGATCAGAAATACGAAAGCATATTTCTGGTAGTTATAAATGAAGCATGAACCAGCGAACTTTGTACTTTTTGCTCTGACCTCCTTTTATATTTACTTCCATAAGGATGGGATGGACCTCTTGTTGGCCATTTCCTTTTTATCAAAGATGGCCTCTAGATTCCATCTGGATCAGTGTCTGACACTGCTAGTGTATTTTTCAAATCTGTTGTATAAACTCCGTATTCCTTAGATGTCCACAGGCCTGCTATATAGACAGAACATTTTCATTTAGAAAGAATCCCATGGGACAAGGGCAAAGGATGCCATTTTGGCCTAAGCCACTAGATCTCAGGGTCCATTAGACAGTGTTACAGCCTTGGCACAACAGTACTTTCCCATGAAGGCAGGGCACATGGTACCCCACTAGTAGAACTGTTGCCCCCTGTTTTGACCTCCATAGGCGCACCTCTTTTAGAACTTTGCAGAGCAGCCACCTGAGCTCAGGAATCCAGTTGTGTCATACACTATGCATGGATATGAAAACTAGGTTGGATGAAGACTTTGGGAGACTTGTAAGGTTTGACCTATTCCTGCAGTAGTAGGTCAGCTTTCTAATCTTTTCCTATTGGTGTGTCTGCAGAGAGACCATGAACAGGTTGCTGGTTTCTAACTTATGTTGTTCAAGTGCTTTGTGCAGTCACAAAACAAGGCATCCTTCCCTTTAGTAGGGAAGTGTTTGCCTGCTTTCATTGCTCTGAGGAAGAACTGAATGGGAAGGTGTGGCTCTGCCTCCTAAGTATGTGATGTTACACCTGTCTCTTCGAAGTGGGTGGGGCCAATGCCAAAGAAGTTGCTTTGTTTAGCCGTAAAAGTTTCCAGAGGATTCTCTGTGCAGGCATAGAATGTATGGACAACCACTTCAAAAATACCAGCTATAGGTAAAAATCTACACACAAAGGATCCAAATGGTGTGTTAGCTGCTGTAATTGAAGACTGGGCCTGGATAACCTGCAGCAATTCATAATTGTTTACAGCTAATAAATTGGAGCTGCGGTGGCTCAAGTGGTTAAGACGCTGAACTGCAGGCTGTGGAAGGTCGGTAGTTCAGCAGTTCGAGACCCGAATGTGCTGCATGATGGAGTGAGCTCCCGTCTCTAGTTCTAGCTTCTGCCAACCTAGCAGTTCAAAAGCAAGTAGATAAATAGGTACCACTTTGGTGGGAAGGTAACAGCATTCCGTGCGCCTTGGTGTTTAGTCATGCTGGCCACATGACCACGGAAATGTCTTCGGACAGCGCTGGCCCTTCAGCTTTGAAACGGAGATGAGCACCGCAACCCTAAATTCAGATTCGACTGGCTTTTGAGCATGGGAACCTTTACCTTTAATCTAATAAGTGGCAATATATGAGGTGAAGGAGGGAATTTGAAAATAAACTGTTGTAAAAGGGAAAGTGCAAGAAATGTAGAGTATGTTTAATTGTTCATATGAAACATTGGGTTATGTTTTGTAATACTGAAGTTATAACATGTGATAGGCCTGCCATTTTGTAGGAGCCACAGAATGTAGTTATGAGTTGAAAGAGCATACTAATATGTTAGACCAGGTTATAAACTACACTTCACTCCAATTTCAAGTTGCATGGTGTAAGACTTCTAAGCACAAACAAAAGAGAAATGCCTTTTTGGGTTTTTTTAGTCACATGCACCAGAAGCATAGACATATGTAACATTCTCTGTGCTGGTTTCTGGTGTGCTGTTTTCTTGCACCAGTGATGTGACAAGACCCTGGCATAGGTGTACATAATCTGTGGTTTACATGTAAAATAACTATTTTATTGCCTTAACTGCCTTATCTGGAGAAAAAACATTAAGCATTCAATAAAACTTAACATAGGAAGGATTTATGTAACACTTGGAGAAACTGATTTGGATTTTATATAACTTTTCTTTTTGTGTTGATGAGCTGGGATTTTGAGGGTTTGGGGGGTAAATTTCTTACCACATCACAATTGTGTAGTTGGTAGTTGCCTACAAATGACATCTTTGGTTCATTTTTAAAATTAAGATCAGACATTTCTTACAACAAGCTATGAAAATGCTAAAAATAATACATGTTCTTGGACTAAGTTTTCCTTTTTTCTTTAGGGAGTAACTATTCCCAGTCAGAGGCGCTATGTATATTACTATAGCTACTTGTTAAAGAATCAACTGGATTACAGACCTGTGGCGTTGCTCTTTCACAAAATGATGTTTGAAACAATTCCAATGTTCAGTGGCGGCACTTGCAGTAAGTATTTTCAGATACCTGTGTCATGAGATTATATCTTCTAATATCCATATCAACCAGTGAGCACAGTTACCCTGATTCCCCAGTGTCAAGTTTGATATATTTAAACTGTAACTAAAAAACCCCTAATTTATCAAACAAGATGATTACATTTACTACTTCAGGCCATTTAAATTCTTCCAGACTTTTGGAATGGATATTCTCTGGGAGCAGATACCCCATCCATGGACTTACCTCGGGGCAAGCAGGAGAGCAGACCAGCATGGACGTCCTTGTGGCCTCAATCCTGGCATGCCGTCAATCCCAGCAGCCAACTCAGGGGCAGTTGGGGGGCCCAAATTGGCACCGCCCATCAGATTGGCAGCACTGTGCAATGATGGACTTGTGGCTCCCTGGGGTGTGTGTGCAGTGTCGTGGAGTCTCCATGGGCCTCAGCTGACCAGTGGGCTCAGAGCAGGGCTGGGGGGGGAAAGGGGGGAGTTGTTTAGGTCAACCTCCAGCCTAGGACAAGGCCCCAGCCCTTCTTAAAGCTGTGCAGGTCTGGGCTTGGGATTCCTGGACTCAACCCTCTTTCAGTCTTTTCCTTAAAATGAGGGTGGGATGAGCTGTTAGGAGGACACATCAGAGTCCTCGTAGCACTTGGAGAAAGGAAGTTGGCTGGAGAGAGAGGGCTATGGTTGAACTGAGGGAAAACCCCCTCCCCTCTAAATCTCCAATGCTGAGCATCCCTACAGCTGCAATACAAGGGATGCTGGAGGGTGCTTCGACCAGGAATCTGATTCAGCGGAGGGCGACCCTGACAGGTATGTTATTGCTGGTCACAGTAGACAATACAGACCTAAAAGACTTTTCCAAATTATCCTGTTAAGTAGGTTAGGCTGAGAAAGAAACTAGCCTAAAGTTCCCCAATGAATTGTTGGAGTAGGGATTTGAATCCTGGCCTGTGTGGCCTACAGCTCTCTGCATTGCACCACAGATCTGCTGAATCCTGCTAGATACTTTAGATAACTTGGCACCATGGCAATCACTTAAATTCCATATTATGATAAGAGTTGGTTATTTGAAATAACCAAAGTGCCCCCCCCCCCTTGGAGAGTGACAAACTGTCAGTACTGCCTAGGAGATCGTAAAATAGGAGTAAAGCTTCATTTAATGTTGGTCTTCAAAGACAGGCAGTATGGTGTGATTTCTTTTGTTGAGAGAGACTAGAGGGCCCATAGCTCAGTTGGTGAAGCATATGCTCTGCATGAATTGAAGTTCCAGGTTTAGTGCCAGAGTAGATAATGTCTTACCTCTTGGAAGTAATGCTTGCACTGTAAGAGTAATAGTGTGCTTATCCAGGGAGATCTGGCTTACTAGCTGTGTAGTTCTGCCATATCCACTGCATATGCAAAAGCCAGGGACTTGTGCTTGGATTATATTCGGTTAATATAGCTAAGTTATACAGTAAATTTGGAACAAATCTCTTAGAACATTCTTTTTGTGCTCAAGGATATGAAGGTTTTAAAATTAGGTCTGCTTGCTCCAGTGGGCCTACATTTGGGTTTAGTCACTCCCCATTATGCCACAAACTGTAGTAAAATGTATGTCGTGTATTGCTACTGTTGCTGACTTTTAAAATGATTAGAACTTCCTCTTTTGCAGTTGGGGAAGTAGTTAGCAGATTTTTGTGTTCATTTTGTTGTTCTGCATTCTGTATAAGAAACTTCAGTATTTTTGGTTCTGGTTTCCTTTTTCCCATGAGTCTCTGGATGTGTTCCAGAGACGGTGTGATACTTCTGTTATCAGCTGTTCATGGCATTAAAATGTTATTTCTGACACCTACATTTTCTGGCCACTTAATATATAACATCATATGATGCTATATAATAGGGTAATGACTTTAGAATTAAGAATCAGGATGGGGCATACTTAATAAAAATTCTGTCTGCAACAGTACGTATTGTATCATGCCTGCAAGGACATTAAACATTTTTGTATGCCAATTAGTTTTAGCACTAATCTACTACTGATTCAGTTGCTGCCAGATTCTTATGCTCATATTGATGTTAATATAAGCATTGTTCTGTAGCAGGTTTTCAGTTACCTAGGGCTGATTTGGTCTGATAATACAGAATTCCACAATTAATGGTTAATGGTTTTAATTTTTTTAATGTAATATTGAAAGATTGGATATCTAAACCATGTACCATAAACTAACTCTAGTTGTTATTACTGAGAAACATTTATTAAGAATATTTGTTTGTAATAAGTTGCTTGGCTTTGATTGTTGAAATTAATTTAAACAGCTTATTATGAAACGACTATTTTTATCATACAGATCCTCACTTTGTGGTCTACCAGCTTAAGGTAAAGATATTCACCTCCTCTTCAGGACCCACAAGACGTGGAGACAAATATATGTACTTTGAGTTCCCTCAGCCATTACCAGTTTGTGGCGACATCAAGGTGGAATTCTTCCATAAACAAAACAAAATGTTGAAAAAGGTTTGTTTTATAATCAGAGATGGCTTTGTTTGTTTTTGATTTTCCCAAGTTCTAGATGGGTGGATGCAGGGGTCGCTTCGTAGAAAAAGAGCTAGGGGAACATATTAGCATAACTCATTAGCATATGCCACACCCCCTGACATCACCGGAAGTGTGTCATAAGGCCAACACCCCCTGACATCACCAGACATGTGTCATAAGCCACACACCCTGCCCCCAACGGTCCCGGCCGCCGCCGCCGGCCTTGCAGCTCCACTGCCGAGCCCCATGAGGGGCCCGGCAGTGGACCTGCAAGGCCAGCGAGAGTGCAAAGAAGCCCCGCGAAGGCCCTCCCTGGCCCCAGGCAGGCAGGGGTGGGGAGAGGCAGGGAGGAAGCAACTTACCCTCCCTCTTCTCCTGCCTCCTCCTGGCTGAATGAGGGCCGGAATTGGGGCGGCCGGAAACAGAGGGGGCGGGGCTTCGTCGTGTGCCCCGCCTCCTCGCACCTCACCAGGGGGAACTGCGATCCCCCCCGAAATGACCTCTGGGTGGATGTTACACATTCTGACAACTTAGCACAAGTCACTTAGTTTCCAGGACTGGAATGGAAGTATGGGAAGTGAGATATGGGCAGTTTTTAGAAGGCACGCCCATTGAGCATCCCTTGCAGGAACCTGGACTTATGAAGCCATGAATAATGGACCAATTCTGAAAGGACTGAACCTTTCTGACTAGATTAAGTTGGTAAAAAGCTCTTCCAGTCACTGCTGGTTTGGGAAAGACCAGGTGCTGTAGCATTCATACAGATTCTTCAGGGCTTCAAGTCTGAGCAAATGAGATGCAAAAAGTGAGGGTTTTTTCCCACAAGTCTGTCCTCTTGGTGTGTAAAGTAGGATGGTGAGTTTTTATGTGCAGTTCTAATAACAAGAGGGTGAGGAAGTCTGTTCTCCCCCCCCCCCCCAAACACACACTTTTTGCCCAGCTCATTTCTGCTATCATAGGCAGGGAAGGGGATTTGAGTAACAAATTAAGGGGTGTTAAGGCGGAGCAGCAGATGGAACTACAACTGTGACTGCTGTTGCATCTAGCTTGGCCATGAGTAATCAAATCAGAGAAGACCTAACCCTGTCAGCAAGCCTGCTTCCTCTTCAGTTGTAAGCTCTACCGCCTATTGTTATTCCAGTCTTTCTTTGAGTTCAGCTTCACTCAGCTCACTGCATGGAGTCATTATCTGAGAAATTAGGTTGCAGGGCTAGGGCTTAAAGGTGTTCACTGTGCGTGTTGAACTCTCCTAAGCAAGTCTCTGTCATGTACAAGTGTACAAATCAGTAAGGAAGAACCGGTGGTTTTACAATTTTAAGGATGTTATTGAAAGGTTTTTATAAATGTAAACGATAGGCTTGTAATGAAATCTTAGTTTTCATTTATAGTCTGTTATCTTGGTTGATCTATTAATTAAAATTTGCATAGGAGTAAAACCAGTAGTTCTGAAATTAATTTTATGTGATGCATGCCTATGTTGTGGCAGGCATCCTCTTAGAAGCTCTTCCTCTTGTGTGGGAAAGAAGTACCTTTCTTTGCCACACTTGCCAACTGCGATTTTAGGGCAGATTAAAAAATAATTTCAAAAATACCTTTTTGGTTTATCAAAAGATTTTTTTAATTATCTTAGTTGAATTAAGACTATAATCTAGTGCACAGTTACCCATGAGCAAGTCCACTAAAGCAACTTTGTGAATAACTTTTTAAAAAGTATCACAGTCACTTTACTGTGAATGCGATTAGCCCTTAGATAATTTTTTAACCACTTAAATTTATTATCTTTCAAGATGTGTCTTTGCCTTGTGGGAAAGGTAGGTGTAGAAAAGATAAAGTTTTAAAAATAGTTACAAAAAAGATACAGTATGTTAAGATACAAAAAGGAGTGCTGTTTTATTAAAAAAACAAGAAATAATAAGGATTAAGTGGGGAAACTAAACGTGAACTAAACAATGAATGCATCCTGTTGAAATTTAAATGGAAAAGAAAGAAACAGTAGCTTTCTAGAAAACAACTACATTGCTTATTAAAACTCTTAAATTATAAGGGCAGTTTTAGAAATGTCTTGAAGCCCTGATGTTCATGTTTCATTTATTTCACTTGTCCTTGAGAACTTTTGTTCTTCCCAGTGGAAATTAGCTTCGGTAGGGTAATGGTTGAAGTTGGCCCCCTACTGGCTGCAGTATTTTCTTTATTCAGTATCTGTACACTTCTTTGAAACATGCTAGCTTCATATTGATCAACAAAATAAGTTGTCTCTAGAGATTCATTCTGAGTAGCTTATATGCCAAACACCTGTATGTGTTTTTACTAGACAGGAAAAAAGTAGGTAAGCCCTGTAAACAGTGTTCCCTCTAAGCTGAGTTAGTGTGAGCCAGCTCACAGTTTTTTAGCTTCCAGCTCACACATTTCTGTCTTAGCTTAGAAAAGATGGCTCCAGAGCAGGCTAATTTATGCAGCAGCCAAATCGCTCACTCACGACTTTAATGCCGGCAGCCCACAAAGTAGAATTTTTGCTCACAAGACTCCACAGCTTAGAGGGAGCATTGCGTAAGTCACATACAGTTCCTTGAAATCCCTTTCTGTTAAGAGTTGTCTGGAGCAGTATTCATTTGCCTATATGACCCTTTAACAGCTCTTCCAGAGTTTACTTGGATTCAGGAAAGTACATTTGAAAGTAGGAGTACTTCACTTTCTTTTACAATCCTTTAAAGTTAGGACTGAGAAATAAAATGTTCATTCATTTATTGCCAGCTGTTCTCTTTTGGGGTGGGAAGAGAAAATTTGCTGCCTAACAACATAAAGTGAAACTCCCTCTAATGTCTGCTCTGAGCAGGTTTCGTGTATATATCTTGTATATGCTATAACAGCAGTGCAGAGAGACCTGTTTATTTGAAAGATTTATATTCAGCTATTTGATCAGATGATTTCCTTTAGCTTTAAATAAATTATATTTTTCTCTGGCAACCTTCAGCTCCTACCTTGCACGGATGAAAAGCAGAGTCTTTCCTGTGTGGCTTGCCAGATCATAATTTCTTATAGAAAACTATCAAATCAAGAATGGAAGATGGTGCAGCCTAAGCCTAACTGTTTATTGGTGGGACCTGTCTATACTGCTGTGTGCTCTCAGTATTCCAGTTATGGTATTTCCTCCCCCTGATGAATTTTAGGTTCAAGTTGTTAGTGAGAACAACAGCTTCTGCACACCACTACAGTTGTCTTATGCAGTTCTCATCACAACAGTCACAGTTAAGGGTATAATAATATGCTCTTAATTCACATGGTTTGGCTACTGATGTGTGTGCAGGACCAGATTTATTTAGTATCTTAGGTTTTTTGGCATGTAGTGAACATGTTGAAGAAAGCTGCTTTTCCCCCCCTTCTTTAGGACAAAATGTTTCATTTCTGGGTAAATACATTCTTCATACCAGGACCGGAAGAAAATTCTGATAAAGTAGAAAATGGCAGCCTGCTTGGAGATCAAGAACTAGATGGTATTTTCAGCACAGAGCGTTCAGATAATGACAAGGAATATCTAATACTTACACTAACAAAAAATGATTTAGACAAGGCGAATAAAGACAAGGCAAATCGTTACTTCTCTCCAAACTTTAAGGTAAGTATTTCAAATCCTTCACCTAATGAATCTTCAAGTGTGCTCAGTGATTTGAAGTATGCTTAGTACTATGCTATACTTAGTAAAATAGAGGTAATTTATTATACGCCTCAAGAGTAAATAAATACCACTTAACTGTAAAAGAATTTTTGTTTTATTAACATATTTATACACCGCTTTTCTCTCATACACTTGAAGTGCTATGTGAAAAGGTTCACATTTAAGAGAATTAGTTTTGTATTCAACTGTTGTTGTATATTGAGTCTACTGAAACACAGGCTTCTTCCTTACTTGCATTTGCATTTTCTGGTGTATGCATCACAACAGAAATACCAGAGCTGGAAGAAGCAGACAGCCTGCTCTTCCATTCTAACTATCTAATGCGTAAAGTATTCCATCTATTGACCCTAATGTCAGGTCCCCCCAGCGACAACGAAGTACACGCTTGTAGAAAAGGTTTTACTTTTATTGAAGCTAAAGGTGCATTGACAGGAACACTGTTAGGAATAACTTGCAACCAAAGAGCATGTCAAGATATAGTGCGTTCAAATCACCAAGACCCAATTGCGGGAGTTCCCACGCGTGCCATTAGGCCTGAGAACTAACTGCACTACTAAGCATAACAGGTAAAGCTTCCCACGACTCATCCGCGGGATAACCCAAGCAATGTCTCTAGCAGCTCTCCTCCTGCGGCCTTGAAAGATACTTGTTACTGGCAAAGCAATTAAGCGCATGGAAAGTCAGATTGAGGTGAAAGTGAAAGCAGAAACACATTTGGCAGCTTGCTGACACCTAATTTGGTGAGGTTTCTCCTCAACAGATTACAAAATCAGCTAAGTGGAACACTAAGTTTAGTATGGCATTTATCTGGTTTTGATTTTTCCAGTTCATAAGTCTGTGTGTACATATATATGTATACACACCCACAGGAGTGGGGGATCCAGAAGGACTTGTGGGGGACATAGCATTCTCCTCTTCTCCACTGTTTCCCTTTCCTGAAAGCCCCCAAAGACTTTCCCTTCTTGTTTCCTTCACTGCTTCCCACCCACCAGCCAACCTATCTTTATCTCCCCCCCCCCCATCTTCAGCTTTTCTCTCCCCGGTAGCCATTCCCCAGGAAAGGTCTGGCCCAGTTGTACAGGGCCAGCCACTGGGGTGGGTCAGGTTGCTTGATGCCAGCCAGATTGGGCCCAGTGGCATAATGCAGAACCTGCAGGAACTTGAGGAAGGGTTCATTTCCCCCTGTATCCCCCTCCCCATTCTATTTCCTCATTCTTTTCTCCTGGCAGCCCCCATATCCTCAGCTTTCCCACTTTTCTTCTCTCCTTCCCATCCACCCACCAACCTATCTTTTATCTGCCTCTTTTATTTTTTATCTGGTGTTGAGGGAAAAATAGACATTGTGGGTATTTCAGAAACTTGGTGGGATGAGGAAAATCAGTGGGATACAGTGATTCCTGGTTATAAATTATATTGGAAGGAGGGGGGGAAGGGTTGGAGGTGGGGTGGCTCTGTATGTCAGAGAGGGTATACAGTCCAGTAAGAGAGGGTAAGAAAATTGGACTTGCTTCTGGAAATGCTATGGGTTGAAATAGTGGGCCCAAAAGGAAGCTTAACACTGGGAGTGTGTTATCGCTCACCAGATCAAAAGATAGTGGAGGATTATAAAATGATGAATGAATTGAAGATAGTGGCTAGACAAAATAACTGTGTCGTAATAGGTTATTTGAACTACCCATACATTGATTGGGTCAATATGTGTTCGAGTTGGGAAAAAGAGATTGAGTTTCTAGACACTCTCAATGACTGTGCTATGGAGCAGATGGTCAGGGAACCTACCAGGGGAGAGGCGATCCCGGATTTGGTCCTAAGTAATGCCCAAGACCTGGTGAGAGATGTAAAAGTGATTGCACCACTTGGGAACAGTGACCATAATGTTATTGAGTTCAACAGTTATATAAGTAGGGAGTTGCCCCAAAAGACCGACACATCTTCTTTTAACTTTAAAAGGGGTAACTTCTCTGAAATGAGGGGACATGTGAGGAGGAAAGTGAAAGGAGAAGTAGAAAGGGTCAAAACCATTGGGGAAGCTTGGAGACTATTTAAAACTACAATCCTAGAAGTTCAGGCTGCAATCACACACACTAAATAATCCACTTTCAATCCACTTTCCAACTGGATTTTTATTGTGTGAACTGGCAAAATCCAATTCAAAAGTGCATTGAAAGGGGATTCTTTAGTGTGTGTAATCGCAGCCTCAGAAAAATATATACTGCAGGTTAGGAAAGGCACAAATAGGTATAGAAAAAGGCCTGCATGGTTAACAAAGTAGTGGAAGCTGTAAAAGGTAAGGACTCCTTTAAATGGCAGAAAGTGAGTCTCAGTGAGGTTGATAAAAGGGAACACAGGCTGTGGCAATTAAAATACAAGTCTGTGATCAGGCAGGCAAAAAGGGAATATGAGGATTTTTTTTAATTAGTAGGCACATTGATGAATAAAAACTATTGAGGCAGACTCAGCATGGGTTCTGTAAAGGAAGATCTTGTCTCATTAACCTGTTAGTGTTTTTTGAAATGTTGAACAAACATGTGGACAAGGGGGACCCCATAGATGTTGTTTACCTTGACTTCCAGAAAGTTTTTGATAAAGTTCCTCATCAAAGGCTCCTAAGTAACCTCAATAGTCATGGGATAAAAGGGCAAGTCCTCTTGTGGATCAAAAACTGGCTAATTAATAGGAAGCAGAGAGTGAGTATAAATGGGCAATTTTCTCAGTGGAGGGTGTTAAGCAGTGGGGTACCACAGGGATCAGTACTGGGTCTGATGCTTTTTATCTTGTTTATTAATGATTTGGAGTTGTGAGTAAGCAGTGAAGTGGCTAAATTCACGGATGACACAAAGTTGTTTAGGGTGGTAAAAAGCAGGGAGGATTGTGAGGCACTCCAAAGGGATCTGTTGAGGATGGGTGAGTGGGTGTCAGCGTGGCAAATGGGGTTCAGTGTGGCCAAGTGCAAAGTGATGCACCTTGGGGCAAAAATCCTAACTATAAATACGTATTGATGGGGTTCAAATTGGCGGAGACTGACCAAGAGAGAAATCTTGGAATCGTAGTAGATAACTCACTGAAAATGTTGAGACAGTGTGCGACTGCAATAAAAAAGGTCAACTCTATGCTGGGGATTATTAGGAAGGGAATTGAAAACAAATCAGCCAGTGTCATAATGCCCCCGTATAAATTGATGGTGAAACCTCATTTGGAATACTGTGTACAGTTCTGGTCACCTAAAAAGGATATTATAGCATTGGAAAAAGTGCAGAAAAGGGCAACTAGAATGATAAAAGCGTTGGAGACACGACAACTGAGGGGTGACATGATAGAGGTTTATAAGATTATGCATGGAATAGAGCAGGTAGAGAAAGAAGTACTTTTCTCCCTTTCTCACAATACAAGAACTCGTGGGCACTCAATGAAATTGCTGAGCAGTCGGGTTAGAACTGATAAAAGCAAGTACTTCTTCACCCAAAGAGTGATTAACACATGGAATTCACTGCCACAGGAGGTGGTGGCACCTATAAGCATGGACAGCTTCAAGAGGGAACTGGATATACATATGGAGCAGAGGTCCATCAGTGGCTATTAGCCACAAGGTGTAGATAGGAACTCTCAGTCTGGGGCAAGTGATGCACTGTATCCTTGGTGCTTGGGGGGGGGGCAGTGGGAGGGCTTCTAGTGTCCTGGCCTGACTGCTGGACCTCCTGATGGCACCTGGTATTTTTGGCCATTGTGTGACAGAGTGTTGGACTGGATGGGCCATTGGCCTGATCCAACCTTGGCTTCTCTTATGTTCTTCAACTGTATGTATTATTTATTTACTTCATACGTTCTCCACCTTTCTGCCCAATGGAGAACCAAAAGCAGTCTGTCCTCCATTTTATCCTCACAATAGCTCTGAAGTAGGTTAAGCTGAGTGTGTGTGTGAGTGGTTTGAAGTCACCCACTGAGCTTCCATGGCAGAGTGGGCATTGGAACCTGGGTCTGTCAGATCCTAATGTGAAACTCCAACCGCTATATCACACTTGCTTTTGTGGGATGATTACTGTTGAACAGTAGCAAGTAGCCAGTCCTGGGTGAGTCATGCAAGTTGCATGGTAGCAAGTTGCCTGTGTTTGCTTCCAGGCCTGACCCCAGTGAGTCTACCCTCAAAGGCTAAAATAGTCCTTGAAAGGACCCTGCCCACTCCCTCTGCCAAGGCTTGAAGGCTGGCAATAGTATTGTGGATATATAGCAATGGCCACTGAGTACATCTGTTTCTTAAGTGTACAGGTGCTCCTTTGTGCCAGGCCTCAGTGAATCCTCCATCAAAGGCCAAAAGCACACTGGAAAGGGCCCATCCACTCTGGCTTTTAGTGATAGAAACCAAGGCTTCAACTGACAATGCTATTGTAATTATGTAGCAACAGCCACTTAGGGCATTCATTTTTCGTAAAGCTACAGGGTTGGGGGGGGGGGTTGGTTGTTGTTGTTGTTTATTTCAGATTTTTTTGTGAACCTGGATCTCTTCTCAGGTTCATAGGAATATCTTTCATGTCTGTTCACTGCTCCAATTTCTGTATTTATCCTCAGCTTTGGCCACATTGAGAATGAGATAAATTAATGCTATATAAATAGGGAAATTTTCCTTTGCTTTGGTGAGCATGTTATTCTACTAATAGGAATATCTCTTAGCTGGGTCCTGAAAACATCAGTAAGAATAAAAATGGCAACTTTGAAAGAAAATGTGAAATATATGGAGCTTTGCAGCGTAAACATGAGAAGCTATTTGATCACTCTAGAGGAAATGGGGAAACTGCTAAGCAGTAATAAGCTTTTAAATATTTTGCTGCCTTGAAGGCCTTCATTTAATTGTAGAGCATATATTGCTTGCGTGTGCTTCTCTGCTTAGTGCTTACTTATGTTTTAATCTATAGAACCATTGCATAAAAACAAAGTAATATCAAGTTTTAGCATGTGCTTTCCGTGTCATAGCAATTACTGGCAATATTTCATATTATGAAGTATATGAAGATCCTTCATTTTCTGTCTCCAGCAGGCATTTACTTACTTCTGCCATCATCCTCTTTCTCTAGGTGAAGCTATTTTTCACAAAAACGGTGGAGGAGCCGTCAAACGCAGAAGCGAGCAGCTCAACTTCAGTAACACCGGACGTTAGTGATAATGAACCTGATCATTATAGGTATTCTGACACCACTGACTCTGATCCAGAGAATGAACCTTTTGATGAAGATCAGCATACACAGATTACAAAAGTCTGAATATTTTTTTTAATTTGGGAAAAAATACCACAAAGAAGAAAACTTGAATAAACTGAATTATGGACCTTTTGAAATGGCAATAGGACATTGTGTCACGATTATCAGTTGTAGAACAGTTTTCCTGACCAATTTCATTTTGCCCTATGAAGCCGCCGGGCTTGACACTTGTTGTCCAGTTGAGGAGAAAAAAGGTTACGTAGCTATGTTATGTATATACCTTTTTGTGTCAAGAGGACATTTAAATTTCAATTAGGAACACATAAAGATGGCACTTTCCCATTTGATTCCAGTTTTATAAAAGTGGAGACAGATCTGATGTGTATACGTAGGAATTTTCCTTTTGTGTTCTGTCATCAACTGAAGTTGCTGTAAAGCTCTTTCTAATACACAGGTTCACATCCTGCCCCTTTCTTTGCACTTATGTGGCAACAGATAAGTCTGCAGTTGGCTTGGAGAAGTAATGGGGTTTTACTACATTTGAATGCATGTAATATGGATAGGAGAGTGGAAAGAGAAGCTCAGAAAGGAATGTTTTGTGCTGGACCCTGGACTGTGTACCATTTCCAGCTTACTTACATGCACCTCTTCAGCATGCTCAGTAATAAATCCTGGACCTTGAGGAATCGCCGCTGTCACTGCTTGTTGTTTGTGCATTTTATTTTTTTCTACGCATAATGGTGCTAGAAAAGGCAGCTAGAGGGAGTGGTTCTATGTTAGGGGTACAGGAATGAATCTTCCGGAACATCTTACAATTGAAAAAAATGAAGGGATATGAAACCAGTGTGGATACATGTGAAACACAGTAACAATGACTTAACCATATAAATGTGGAGGCTGTCTACCAGAAACAGGCCTAAACTATAGTTTGTTCATTAGTTGAAGTGTCCCCAGCTGTGGATGGAAAAAGAAGACTACAGCTTTTGTTGTAGACTTTTCTTAAAACACACACACTCTGTCTTTCAAACAGTTGCTTTTTTAAAGCTTCATCATGTGAAATCTTATGTGTTTATTGGCATTAACTCTGTTCATCAGCAGTGGTCCCACTTGATTAAATGAATTTGGAATCCATAGTGCCCAGTCCACTAGCATTAATAAAGAGGATATAAATCATAACTAGTCAAGGCAGAACTCAGGCTGAATACTAAACAAAGGGGCAGCATGCTCCTTCCACATCCATTGGTCAATTTTGCTCCCTTTCTAAATCCTCTGTGTAGTTGTGTGCCTATAACTTCATACTGACTTTCGCAGTACTTGTGTTTAACTACACAGGATAATAGCTTTTATCCATAAAGTGAACTTTTTACAAAGCTCATGCTGAGGCTTCCTAAGTTTTGATCCCATTATATGGCTCCATAGATGAAACCGATTGGCACGAGTTGACTATTGAATCATCCTTGACTTTATTCCTGTGATTTAAGTTTAACCTGATTTTCCTTTAACAATTTGAAAACCACATTAGCCAACTAAAAAGTTTGTGCTTTAAAATATTTGGATGTTGACAGTGTTCGGTGTCTTATAGAACTTTATCTTGTACAGTTCTACTGTGTAAAATGGGAGGGCCAGTTGGGAAGAGTTTTATTGGCCTTTTGCACTGTTGTTCTTCCTTTTGGAATGTGAAGGTCTGAATGAGGGTTTGGATTTTGAATGTGTCAGTGGTTCTGAGAAGCCTTGCTTACGTTTTTATGGTATAGTCATTGAAAAAAGGAAAATGGCATTTTATATATATATATATATTATATAATATATATTATGCATACTCTCCTATACTTTATTTCAGCTACCATCCCTATAGAACATGGCAAGAATTACTATAACTGAAAGGTTTGAGTCCTGATTAAAACTTTATTTATGACAGTATTCATTAGCTTGAAAATGCATTCTTGTAGGTAATTTCTTGAGTTTCTGGACTGTGTGCTTAAATTCTTGGATGTGCAGCCGCTTACATGTCTGAAATTACTTGAAGGCATCACTTCGACAGGAGCTTACTGTTAGGCCCTGTGCCATCCCTAGTCATCTGTAGCCCCAGTTAAAATAGTTTGTCACAGTAGTTAAAGGGCAGTTGTATAAAATAGCACCAAGGTTCTTTGCTGTGGCACAGGTTGTAAACTGAAGGGGATGTTTACACACAGCATCAATTGTTTTCAGCTTTAAGGAACAAAAAGAAATAAAGGTTAGGGTGCCAGTGTGCAGTTCCTTGCTTAAATTCTAGCAAACGTGCAATATGTTAACGATGCCTGTGGTTGCCACAAAGTGCCTCGTTTACCTTTTAAAAATACTGTTAATGTGTCATGCATGCAGATGGAAGGGGGGTGGAACTGTGCACTAAAAGGAGGCTTTAACTGCAGTGTTCGGTGGAGCTGCCTCGCCAGTTCAAAATTCTCAGTCTGTTTTCATATAGAATATATATACTAAAAAATTGTCTGTTAAGCAGCCTTATTCTGATTCAGCCTCTTCAGATACTATTGTGCTGTGCAACAGTGGCTCTGTGTGTAATGCTATGCACTGAGGATACACAAAGCAAGAAAATGACATGTACAGGATAATGTCTCATACAAATCAAATGTCCGTTTGTTATTGTGTTTAACAGCCCTTTATCTTAGTGTTAAAACTCCACTTAAAACTGATTAAAGTCTCATTCTTGTCACTGTGTTGGGTGTATTATTATAAAACTATTCATCTCTGTAAAATCATGAAAAGCACATATGGTTGGAACCATGAGGGTTACTTATTGGAGAGCAACTTAAGGCAAAGCCGATCATCTCTCTCTCTTTTTTTAAAAAAAAAAATATTTGGTTCTATGAAGTTATTGATAAGGCTTTGACTGGATTTCAGAAATAAGCATTGTCTTGTGAAGTTTAATCAACTTTCCCAAGCTTACAAATGTAACTGTAGTTGTTCTGTTGTATAAAAGGGTTCGTAGTAATAAAACAGTTGCTACAATCTCTCCAAGTTCAACTGCAGGTATCTCCAGTTGATATTTGACAAGGCTGGGACCTTGCAGAGCTGCTGCCCATCAGGAGAGACAGTACTGTTCTAGATATACGGAGGCTAAGAGAGTTCCTAGTTTGTCTAAATTTGTAGAAGAATTAATTGCTCTTGTTTGAGGTCTGTCTAATATAGGATCTTTGCATTCTGGGATTTCATAGTAAACTGCCAGCATGAATATTAGTAAACTTGGGCTTATGAAATTGGTTTACTAAATTTTGTAGCTCTCCAGTCTCCTATTGTTTCCAGAAACTAGTATTTTCTATCAGGTAAACCACTTCCTGTGCTGAAAAAAATCAAATGCTACTACCAAAATCACAGAGATTGTTTTGAAGTGACATTTAACAATTGACCCCGTTGATTTTTGGTTGTAGATTCATTTCAGTACTTAGTATGCTTGAGATATTCTGTATGAGGCTTAATGGAGATCATCTGAATTGCTTTGCCTGTTGTGTCTGGTGTGAAGGAAGCTGTCTACTGTCTATTGTAAAATTGCTGTCTTTGTATTTATTCCAAATGTTTTAAAACACACATATATGACATGCATTTTTTCTACGTTTCCTTGCCTAAGTTCTTTATATCAAATTCTTAGTTTTCAAAACTTGCATAGTACCAAAATACAGCATGGTATGACCTGGTGAACAAAGCAGGTTTATGGGAGTGGATTTAAAATCTGAGGCTTGTTCTGCTTTAACATCACCGAGTTCCTCTGCTGTGTAATGCATAGTCCCAAAGAATGCTGGGAACAGTTAGTGTCTGTTGGTTTGAATAACTTCAAAGGTTAACATTACAGATTTTCCATACAAGGAGTCAAGCTTGTGATGTGAACGTGCAAGGAGGAGGAAAAAGGTACATTTGAATATATCAAATTCTGAATTGATGTTGAGGATATATGCCTTTCTGGTTAGGCTTTTTCTTCAAAAAATGTAGTGTTTAATAAGTACTTGTTTAAGTCATGGTTTTACTGTCCAAGTACAGTACTAGTAGCAGAGCATACTAACACTTTTTTCCCATTCGTTTCCAGTATACCTATAATATGGCCGTAATCTTTGATTTCCACAGATACTTGGGAATCTGTCTTCACACACTGTGCATATGCAAGCCACAGTTTTTAGAGGTTTGAGAAGGATTCAAGCTGTTGCTGCTCTTCACCATGACTACCTTTTCAGTTTTCTTCTGTGACAAGAGAAGCATGTAGAAAGAGCCTTTTCTGATTTTTGATTTGGAAGCTTTCTCTCTCTTTTGCCTTTTGCATTCTTTTAGCCACATGGGATACAGCCTCCAGATGGCACCCCCTGTGTCTTTCCTTCATTCTTCTCCTTCCCCACACTTCTTCAAGCACCTGTATCATGGTACCTGTCACAGTTTGTACAGCCAGGATTGTCACTGGAAGGTCCTTGCTCAGTTCCAAAGATATTGAGGAATTTCACATTACCCTTTTTAACCCGTTTTGAAGCCGTTTGTGATCCGTCATGGAGTAAACCGGTATAGGGCTGCCATTTCACACATGGCTTTCCCCTTCCAGTAAAGAGCTGGTTCTGAAGCGGTTTGCCATTTCAGACTGCACCGCTTTCCCCCCGCCGTTTTTCATCCGCATGGGCAATCGGCTTTTTAAAAAAATGTTTGCTTTAGTGCGCTATAGTGCTATAACACAACACTCCAGGCATTCCAATGGGGTTGATAGAGCGCTGTTGCATTATGGTGGTATAGCGCTATAAAGTGAACGTTAAAAAAAAAAAGCTGGAGATTGCCCGCACGGGCGAAAAACGGCGGGAAAAAGCACATCGGAACCGGGAGAGGAAACTGAAGACTACTTGGAAGTGGTTGACAGGTAAAACGCTTCAGCCCCGTTTCCTAAACGGGACAGAAGCATTTGTGTGTGAAATTACAAATATATTCCCGTAGAGAACTGGTTCTAAACGGTTCTGTCTGAAATGACAGACCAGAAACTGTTTGGGAACCGTTCCTCTTCCAGATTATATCGTCTGTCTGAAATTCCTCATTGAGTCCTCTTGTGCTATGCCTGCTTTTAAAGATTAAGGGTTCAATCCTGTGCAAACTTACCTGAAAATAAGCAATACATCTTCTTCGTGGTCTCTGTGCATCATACCCTTGGGATAGTCTGCGCCTGCGCTGACCCTGCTCGGTACCGGTAGCTAGCCAAAGGGATTTTCGGCCCTGATGGAGAAGGCACTATCTCCACAGTCCTCTTCACCGTTGGACACGTCCGGGCACGCCTCGATGTCCACCTTGGCTGCGGACACTTGTCCTCCCGTTCCGGGATCATCGACGTCGACGGTCGCAATCGATGCTTCGGCACCGAAACGATCGACGCCGATAAAGGACCACCCCGTACCTTCCAAGATCCGGAAGCAGGGCAAAGACTCACAGCAGTCGAAGAAACCTAAAACGGACAAACCCAAAGTCCATAAGGTTTCGGCTAGTCAGGGTCGAGATCCCACGCAAGAACCTCACCCGATCGGTTCGGATCTCGACATCGACCTTACTCAACAGACAAATCAGTCGCAATCTGATATGTCGAGCCGTCAATCCTCTCATGCCTCCCCAGAACGTGGAGTCGAGGATCGGCACCGACCAACTTCTCCTCCCCTGACTTGGGATGAGAGGCAATGGCATTATTTGTACGGGAATCGATACCCATACCCTTGGGCACTCCCGATACCACCCCCACCTGAATGGGATCGTCAGTCGGTGTCATCCCGCATTTCGCGCTTTCAAGATCGACCATCGGTATCGAAGCAGTCGATACCGACGCATCCACCAGACCCGGTTGTGCCCCCGATTAACACACCGGCACCGTCTCAACCTGAATTACTCGAATCATCTCCAGAACCATCCAATGTATCCTCCGATTCAGATGGCTTTTCTGAACATATCGAGGATGTAGATGCACAGCCCACCTCGCAAGATGTGGAAGCGGATTTACCTATTTCTCCATCAGAGGATGTTAAGTCTTATGGAGATTTTATTCAACGCATGGCATTAGATCTATCTATGACTCCTACTCTCGTTGCCAGTTTTGTGGATGATAACGTTTTTGACATTATGCACTCTAACACTTCGCCCTCCGTGGCTCTACCAATGACAAAAGTTCTCTTGCAAACTACCAAGGACTTTTGGACTCGTCCAGCCTCCATTAATGTCTCTAATAAGCGTCTGGATCACATGTACAAGGTCCAGGAATCAGGGGCTGAGTTTTTATACACACATCCTAAGCCCAATTCTTTGGTCGTTTCCTCGTCCACGAAAGGAAAAGCGAGCCACTCTACTCCATCAGACAAAGAAGGAAAAAAGTTGGATTCGGTTGGTAGAAAATTCTACACTGTCGGTGCAATGGGCATTAAAACGGCGAACTATGCCGCCTGCATGGGCCGTTATCAATTCAATTTATGGAAGCGTTTGAATGATTTCCTCCCGCACGTGCCCAAAGAGTGCCAACCTCAGATTAAAAGGATTCAGAATGAAGGGATGGTCTTGGCTAGACACCAAATTAGTGCTGCCAAGCATTCCCTGGAATCCGCTAGTAAGACTCTAGCAACCTCTGTAGCGTTACGCAGACATGCCTGGCTCCGCTCTTCATCATTGCCATATGACACCAGATCCTCGGTGGAAGACCTTCCCTTTGAAGGTTCTGGATTGTTTAGCTCCACCACTGACACGGTTCTGCAGGAAATGGATAAGAGTATCAAGACGTCCAAGAGTTTGGGGATCTCCCCCACGACCAAATACTCGAAATCCAAGCAGTGGCCTAGGCAACCTTGGTCGACCAGGCAACCGTACAACAAATCACCTACGGATCAATGGCAAAGACCTCCCTCTCAGTCACGGTCTTTTCCCCCGAAAAATAAGGGACAATCGTCCGGTGCCTATAAGTCGAAATTCCCTAAGAATCCCAAACAGGGACTTTGACTTCAACCTTACTGCTCAGACTCGCCTTGCACCCTTCCTGCACGCATGGCTCGCCATTTCTACGGACAAATGGGTGCACTCTATAATAAGAGATGGCTATCTCATAGAGTTTTCTCTGACTCCCAAAATCTCCCGTTTTATCAGAACCCCGGCGTCTCCTGCCCTGCTACAGGAGGTACAATCGCTGACACAAAAAAACGCTATAGAGAAAGTCCCGATGGCGGATTGTTGCCGCGGGATTTATTCCAAATATTTCACGGTCCCCAAGAAGGACGGAGGACTTCGTCCAATCATGGACCTTCGTTTTCTCAATCGGTTCATCATTTACAGAAAGTTTCGCATGACCACGTTGCAAAGCATTTTACCACTCCTGTCTCCAGGGACTTGGATGGTCACTTTAGATCTCAAAGACGCTTATTTTCACGTCTCCATCCATCCTCGTCACAGAAAGTTCCTCAGATTCGCAGTCGGGGAGGACCATTACCAATTCAAAGCCCTTCCATTCGGGCTCTCTACCGCCCCCAGGGTTTTTACGAAGGTAATGGTGGTTGTCGTCGCTCATCTTCGCCTTCAGGGCATTCAGATCTTTCCGTATATAGACGACTGGTTGATGGTGGCAGATTCAAGAGAATGTCTCCTTCAGCACATCACCATCACATTGTCGGTCCTATCCTCCCTTGGAATTCTGGTGAATTTACAGAAATCCATGCTGCAACCTGCAACT